CAGATTAGGTTTAAGGGAAGGTCTGCAGGCGTTCGTCTCCCTTTAGGCTGGTGCAAGATAACAGTAGTCAAAGATCTGAACTTAGGGTAATCTGCGTAGGGTCCTGGTACTCTTTCTTAATAAAATGTAATTCTAGCGCGGTGTGTTTAGGCAAGTTTTGCTTTTTTTATTTTGTATTATTCAAAACATGTTTTGTTTTTTTAAGCTGATCTCACGGTATGTGTCTCATATAATTATCATCCGGTACAACTGCTGACCATATATAACAAACTTTAAATAGGACCCTGGTACTTTGGAAGTATATTTGTGATGTAGCTGAAAAAATTGCTTAAATTATAAAATATTTTACTATATTCATCTGTTGTTAACCACTGAGGATAGAAACATTGCTCCCGAAGTACGGTCGAGTGCATTTTTGTGTTTAAGATTTTTTTTTAAATATTTCATGATTTTAGATTCGATGTACACCTGAGAAGGTTTTGTTTTTACAATAAGTTTTTTTTTGTGTCTGGACCCATGATATCTTTAAGTCTTATACATTTTTAACGGATTGATAGGGTACCAAATCTTTATTTACTTCTAAACACATAAATATGCGAACAAGTAATAAATAATAATAATAATAATAATATAAATACCATATATACTCAACGAATGTGTTTATAGTCATGATTAAAACTGTTTATTATTGAATACATTACATTGAATATTAGTTTGGTATAACACAATTATTTAAATACAATGACAATAGTAATGTTAAACATAAAATACTTAAATTTTATATAATAGAGCTTAATGCAAAAATTATTCAAATATAATAATAATAGTACCATAAAATAAGTCAATTCTAACAATTTCTGATACAAATTATCCTAACTGATCAGCAAGTGGTTGAATCAGGTAATTATTTTCATTCATTTCCCAGATTGTGCCATCAAAGGATCTGTATATTAAGGTAATGATGTTGTTTTTAGCGTTTAGAGTACAAGTTTCATTATCGTCAACAGCATGCGTTATACATAAATCTGGGCAATGTATACTTCTCCACAATCCTATTAAACGACACAGCAAAGGGAAATTTAAGGTGTTTGGATCTCTTTCACCTTAAAAAAAATTTATAAAACTTATTATTCCTCAAAATTGTAAAAAGTACATTAAATAAAACAACATATAATTTATTTCATAATTAAGCTTATTAGAAACTTAACTAAAGTTTTACTTTGTTCAACGTAATAAGTTATATTGAAGTGTATTTTGGACGATAAGAAAGGTACTAATGATGATTAGTTTTTATATATTTTACACATATCAAAATTTCTCGTCTAATAATAACTTATTATGGAGATATTTGTTAAACAAATAAAATTGGTTAAAAATAATTGAAATCGAAACCAAGATAGTCCATATACAATTAAAAAAGACTTTAACTTTGTTGAAAAGATAAAATTTAATCATTATCTTACCAAAAAGTGTATATTGATGAAATCGATGAATAGATGTGTGTCAACAAGTGATCACAAACTTCAACGATAGAATTAATCTATGTAGAGTCAATGGAGGAGGAGATAATATTTCAGATGTAGTATTTCATAATTAAATCGGACCATACTAACTGAATGGAAAAATATAAAACATAATCTTTTTCGAAAAAAATTTGAACGAGTTATTACATTTTTAAAACCAGCGTTTTTCACGGGACAGGAACGGCAATTTTTGTACTATGATTATTATAATAATAGTTGTTGACGATTATTGTTTAAATATAACCATTGAAAAAGCAATTTCTTTATAAAGTTAGTACACTTAAAATTATTTAAAACAAAAATTATAAATTTATAGACTATAATATACATATATTTGTAATGGTAAAAAAAGTCTGTACATATATTTACTTATTTCAGCCTGAATTAAAGTTTTTGTAGCTTCTCTAGCGATATCCCTTCTTGCGTTCCCATAAACTGAGAGATCAACGTCTTCGAAATCAGCTTAATAACAAATACATAATAAAAAAAAGTAAAAATGATTTAGTTGCTCTTGATAGAACTGTATTACATTATAAACTGTAAAGCAGCTGATTTAGTGCAGGTAGGACAAAATTGATAAAAGTTTAGATCATATCTACAAAATTAGTAAAAACGCCGAAAAATGTACACATTTTTTTTAAACTTATAAGTCACGCTGTAACATTATTAAAATTAGTAGGATTAGTTCCAAATTAGTATAAGATAGTTTTTAAATGTAATATTTCCAATAGACTTTTACTAACTAATAAAATATTTTAGCCATTTCCCAAAAGGGAAGAAAGTTTATCTTTTTTTCTAAACCAAAAGAAATCTTAAAACCTTTCCGTGCAAACTTTTTTGTATGTATAAACTTTAAGCGTTGTTTTAGAACTCAAAATTTTAAAACAAAATTCTGGCAACAGAAGAGATTCCGGTTTCTTTAAAAATACAATCGCTATAGTAAAAACTGCTAAAAATTAACCTTCTAGCAGCTATTGACCTTCTCAGCACATGTTGCCAACGTTCTGAAAACTTCATGGACATTCATAGGATATCATTAATAATCGCATTAATTGAGAAATTACATTTAAGACCAAAGTGCAGCCGCTATGATCGATTATCGTGCCTGAACAGCAAACGCGTTTATAGAATGAGGCTTAAAAAGAAGAAAAAATTTCCCAAACTCTTAGGTATGGATCCCTAATGGCTAATGCGTCATTTCATGCCAAATCCTTTCCAACCTCTTAAACAGAAGACAAATTTTAAAGTTCGCAGTATGCATTCGTAACAAGACTAGCAGGCAATGTAAGCTAACTAACAGCCTACTTGTCCTCTCCTGTTTAAATTATACAGTACCAGACACGACCTCCAAACTTATTAACTATAATTGTGATTACCTTCGTTTATATCAGGTCCCTTAATACCTGTAACCAAAACATAAAATATCAAAATATATTTATACGGTTGAAAAAATTAGCTTCGATTGGCATTTTTTTTGCCTGTATAAACTGTAACTTTTTTCAAACTGGACCAATTCCTTCGAGTAGCCACTATATAAATCACAAATTTCATCTAGTTAATACTTGGGGGGGGGGGGGTGTAAAATTTGAAAAAATTTACTTCTCCACAGTTAAAATTTGAAATAACAAAAAAAAAAACCATACAAGTATAAAAGTTTGAACTTTTACTGGCTATAATTTCGAGAAAAAGAGTCGGATCGAGTTGAAATTTATGAGAATTATTTATTTGGTATGCTCTCACACGTCAGAAGTCTTGAATTTAAATTATACCAATCTCCAATCCCAAATTTTTTTATCAAATCCCACAACATTTTTATGTAAATCTATTCAGAATGATATTATCGAGTTATACTGTGCTTGGTTTGGGCTTTACTGGATTGAAAATACTAACTACTGTTTTGGATCGAAGCGTTTTTCCGAAAATTATTTTATCACTTTCAGTTGTAATAATTCCTGTAAGCCTGTGACCTCCCCGTCCCTACTATACTCCGTCCTAACTATGCCCCGACTAGCTTTTTTTTTATATTTTATTTGTAACAGTCATCCCAAAATCTTAAAATCCTAAAACACTGAAAAATTAATCAATGTAAAATAATGAAAACAATTTTAAACTTTTAGTACCTATCCCCAATTTTGCCCAAGGTAGGATAATTATTATTAGTTTAAATTCCAATTGATTATTTTTTGTTTTTATTTAGAACTATACATTTATATATGAATATTGTATATAAATATATATGTCACATTTTATATTTACCTGTTGTATACCTTATTAATGCTTGCAAATGTATCTGGCACCATAAACTCACTAAAATGTATGACAAATACATATGTAAGAAAATGATTATTCTTGATGTACATAAAATATTTACTAAAAAGACTATGAGTGCAAAGTGATGTAAATATGAAACATATAAAGGTTATTACGCGTTCGGTTATAGTCTGCAAAATCTGAAATTAAAATAAGAACATTTCACTTAATGGATATCAAATAACTATGTTGAAATATTTCCATAAAATATTACCCGGTACTGCCAACATAAAATTAATTTCCTCTGTAATTAATAAAACGAACATAATGTAAAGTTTAGTTTTTTATTCTAACATAAACAAGAAGACAAGTAATATACACATATTATGTTTTATAAATCAAAAAAAAAATGTGCTTGGGACCAACTATACCTATATAAATTATGTGGAGAATAAAATGGCAATAAAATAGAAGAAGAAAAAGAGTAGAATAAAATATAATGATTAAACGAATTAAGACACCAAGGTATAACACTAGACTTGTCTGTCATAACGTCTCCATTTTAATCTTAGAGTAAAATTTAATATTTATTTCGCTGAATTACAATTGCATAAAGATAATTTGTTGCACTTTTTATATCAATTGCACATCATCGTTCATCTGGTATTATAATATCATTATTAGTATTATTTTATTTATTATATAATTATAATTACCCATCGAATAATTTTTATAGTAAATGGCATTTCTTATTACTGTTCGCAATTGATCTAGAATAATAAAAATAAAGGTTTTTCCATAGCTCTATCAAATTTTAAATTTAAATAGTAGCGTATGTGTTTCATTTACTTTTTAAAGTAAGGTGCTAACAATTTGAGTGGTCGATTACCAGTTATAGATAATTACTTTTCAAGTTACTTAAGATTAAATCTTAGGACGGGTGAAACTATGGAGTGTAGTATATTTTTAAATTTGTAATTATCCAAAGCTGTTTATCGATAAATCATTTGATTATTATCAGACAAACATACTGAAAACATTATATTTTAGTGTTTAAATTTTAAACAAATTTTACCTCCTGCAAGCTCGATGTGTTTGTCTGTAATAAATTATACAAATATAGTCTAAACACAAAAAAAAATATTTAATATACAAACAACTCTTTACGTACTGGTTCTGATAACCTCCTTGTCATAGTCATCTGTACAAATGTTAAATGGCGAGTTCTTTTTTTATAGCTATGTACTTGCACTTGTAGAGAAGTTAAAAAATAAATATTCACCTAATGCAGCTAACAATACGTTTACTAAGGTAAGTGACAATATTATAACGTACAAACGTTTCATTTTATTCTGCAAATTATAACAAATAATTAATCTTCTACTTAAGAAGTTCTTTTGTTAGACTCAGTCAATTTATAATTATCAGCTTCAATGAGGAGCTGGTTGCTACAATAATGTATTTAATTATGCATATTTTGACTAGACGATAACCAGTTTTAGATAATTGCTGTTTAAATTAATAAAGGTTAACATTTAAGATGAGAGATGGAATTTTTATCTGCGGACAAAACTCTTTGCACTCCACCTCCCACCCTAAACTTTATACTTAAATAAGTCAAAAATCTCAGCAAATAATTCTTAATATAATGACTTGAATTAAAAAAAAAATTAATCTAGCACAAAAGCTATTCCATTTGTCTTATCTTTGTAAAACAGTCTGTATTATTATTTTACACAGAGTGCTTTTAGTACATTTTTTTGAGTATCTTAAATTAAAAAAAATATATAAAATAATTTAAAAATGAAAACAGTTAAGAGCAATAACACTGTTGTGTTTATAGCGCAAATGAGTATAAAAAAAAAATTAATTTAAAATATTGATTTAAAAATATTCAATAGAACAAAAGTTATTTCATTTGTTTTGTAGATTAACAAGTTACCGCAGGTAAGCACAATACGACTAATATTCACAGACTTCGAATATTATTTTTAAAAAACCTAATAATATATTTATAAAAAACTTACAGTATTTGAAGTATTAGAGTATATATATATATTACTTAAAATACTAAAATTAAAAAGCCCTATATCAGTATTTATAGTAATTATAAATTATGTGTACAATTTTCCGACTTGGTGGTTAAAAAGTTATTGTAAGCAAATACAAAAGTAATCAGTGAAATTTAACAATATGTATAAATAATGTACTTACAATATTGGATAATTATTAACAGTAGAACTTATAAGCAAAATTCACATTTGACCAGCTTGTTAATCTGTTTTGATGTAGTTATCTAACAACCTGTAAATGGGTTTTTATGTCGACCAAAACAGTTAAAATCTAAATATACATTGCAGAGTGTTAATATATATTTATATAGCTATGTTAATATGTTAATTATAATTTATATAGCTGTTTTTTTATATATTGTTTTTTTGCATATTTACATTACTCTGACGCAAGCTTAGACTATTTTATTCTTAATTATTGATTTCCATAATCTTCATAAAGTTAATGTTTACACTTGTATGCTTGTACACTTATATTATCGTGTCTGCTATTCTATCGATAAACATCTTAATAAAGTTAGGAATAATTATGTTTGTGAATAATTGTGAGTGAAACAATATAATATGAAGTTATAATTTTTTTTTTACGATTTATGGCACAAGGCCCTCAATTTTGTTTAATGATGTATTTAACGTTTCTTACCCTTCAAACCAAAACTTACTATTAATGTGAAAATCATAAGATGTGTTCTGTATTAAATCTCATGATTATTGTACACAAACAGTCGTAGATTTTCTAATATTTCAACCAATTTATGTTAACACTTTTGAATTATTATAATTTCCTTTATTATCTTAAATCATCCACTAAACATGTATGCCATTACAAGGAATGATTCTATATGAAAAAAAATTAAATATTATAAGGATACAAAAAGGATTCATACGGGAGGTAGGGTGTAGTCTGGGACATTTAGCATATTTGTGTCTGCAATTATTGTTAATATTGTTTTTATTTATTAAATAAATATTTGCACATCAATGTGCACACGTGTATTAAGCAGAGTATGTTATTAATATACCAAGGTCATGTAAAGCTTATGTTTGTATAAGAATTGCGTCTTACTATATTCAAAATATTGTATTAAACAAATTTCTTGGATTCCCGGCCCAAGGGGTACACTCGAACTGCGCCAAGACTACATAGACTGCTCCCCATTTGTATTAGCAGATTAGGTCAATATAATAGCAGGTGGTTTAATTAACACATGGACTGTGCCCAAACTAGATAAATTCCAAAATAGTTTAAAAAAACTGTCACACATAGATGGCTAGGTACTGTAAGTCATTTTTTAAAGCTGTTATTAGTGTAGAACTTTTAATATGTTTTAATTTAATTTAGCCATCTGGACGTTTTCTTTAGAGCACACGAGATGTGCTACCTGCTATTTTGGTACAGTTCATATGCAACAGGTCCAGCCAACCCTAAAACTTCAAGAAAACCGGGGGTTATTTGAGCTACTAATTAAAAACCAAATTTCACATCAAATAAATATTGTAATTGACTAAAATGTTAATTTATTTTACATATTATTTATCTTACATTAATTATATCTTCACTATTGAAATGCATTCTAAATTCCAAAACAACATAATATTATATCATACTGGTTGCCCAAATGATGTATTTCTTAACCAGATATTATGTTTGTCAATGTGTAAATGTGATATGTTTCTTTTGGGGAATCTATCAGTAAATCTGGATGGCTTGGTTTTTAAGTGGATATTAATGTATTGAATATTTTGACTGGTCAATAATACAGTATGCGATTGGTACTATGGCAGGTCCAAAGTAGAAAAATTCAACTCCTTTTACCCAAAAACCGGGAAAACCGAAGACCGAATTGACCGGTTTATAAACTTTCAACTTTGAAGTTGAAATTTGTATAGCTAATTTATTTAATAGGCATGCTTCTATCAATAAACTGCCTTAATTTGAAATTTAAATAATTCTGCTCCTTCCCCTTCCCCTCCACAGGGGTAGACATTTTAAAATATTTTTTGGCGCAACCATCAGACTTAAGAGCTAACAATTAGACTGAAGATAGGTCTGATATTCTCTTTTGACATTTTCATGTCTTTGCTCTGGCACATAACCGAAAAAAACGTTACCAAAGGAGCGTTCTTTACACAAGCGTTACAGGGGTTGGGAGATAGGGGGTGGGAGATAGGGGTAGGAGATAGGGTAGAAGATAGAGGTAGGAAATTGGGATAGGAGATAGGGGTAGGAGATAGGGGTGGGAGATAGGAGGTGGGAGATGGGGTGGGAGTTAGTGGGTAGGAGATAAGGGTAAGAGATAAGAGATATGTTGTACATTCAACGTTCAAATTAGAACTAAATTATAAATTCAAAATAAATTAAGGGCCTAAATTCTCTATGAATTGTTTTAAGCCAGATATTAAACACTACAATATTAGCCAGAAACTTGATGTTTTAATATACTAGCTTGTTACTGCTTCTTAATATACTATATCATAATCTATAATTCCACCACTACTCTAAATTTATTCATATATCATATATACTTACAAAAAAAATAAAAGAACACTGAATAATTTGTTAAGCTAAATTAAAAAAAAAATGAATAAAAAACTAAAAAAAAAACTGTTTCCGCTCAGGATCGAACTGGGGACCTTCTGCGTGTTAGGCAGATGTGATAACCGCTACACCACGGAAACGATGACTGAGTTTTATCTATTCGAATAGTTTTAAGTAGGCAACGGCTCATAAAATTAAGTTATAGATTATGGCGTGTTCACTGTTCACGCTTGTGCAATTAAATTTAATGTGAAACTTGATAGCAATTTATTAAATGCAAGTGCACAGAAAAAAATACATAGTTGGTCCAACTAAAATAATTATGGTTAATATAGGGTCCATATGGACACAAATAAATTTCTAGTTGGAATAACTAAATAAATATAGTGGGAACAAATAAATTTGTAGCAATTATACATTTAGTTCGGCTAATATACGTTACACAGTATTATTTTGTTGTGATTAAGGGTTTATTTAAATATTTTATAAGTAGATCTGATATATATCTATAAAATATTATACACAATAAAATCTGTACTTAAAATTATTTTTTACTGGGATAAAACTCAAAAGCTACAACTGATGGATTTTGAAAGCTATTTTTGATTTATTAACTTAAAAATGTAATACTATATAGATATAATGTGTTAGGACAACATAAAACAGTTTTTGTAATTATTTTCTGTCACTAAACTTATGATAAATAAATTGAGAATTCTCAAATATTTACTTTACAATTTAAGCATATATTTTCTCTTGGTATTTAGGTTAGTAAAAAAAAAATGAATTCTGAAAGTACAAAAAAATTATTGTAATTATATTGTTTCGCATATAATAGGAACTTATGTTTATTAAGATTTTTATCGATAGAATGTCAGACAATAATATATATTATACTTAGAAGCAAATAAAACTAAGCAAACATTAACTTTAAGTGAGTGTTATTTAAACCAATAATTAAAATGAATATAGTCTCAAATTGCGTCAGGGTAATGTAAATAATATTTTATCATATTAAAACAAAACTAAACAGCCATGTAAAATATAAATTAACAATAAAATACCATAACAAAAAAACATAACATAACACTCATAAAATTATATTTAGATTTCAGTTTTTCGGTTGACATAAAAACCTATTTACACTTGAAATAAAAAACGTTTAACAAGCTAGTCGAATTTAAATATTGCATATAAGTTCTATCATTTATTAATTGTAATTCAGTAACACTAACCAACTGTCAAGATTGTAAGTACATTATTTTTACTTTTTGTTATGTCTTATTAATTTTTATTTTGTATTTGTGTATTTGCTTACAAAAACGTTTTAACCGTCAAGTCAATTTAATTAAAAATCCCAAGTCAAGTTTACAGAAATTGTATTCATACAAGAATACTTACTTTTTGTGCTATTTATAGTGCCATAACTTATAAAAGTGTAAAATTTATAATTCAAGAATTTTGCGTTAAATCAGCTAATGAGGTAATAAAAATAAACTTAACAGCTAAAAATACAATTTTTTTACTCGTATCAATTAAGCTCACATGTATGAAATGGGCTATAAGACGCGTTGAATTTTTTATTTTTTTGTAATTTTCTCAATAAATTAATAAATTGGACATTTTAAAAATATGTTTGTTTTAAATATTATAATGTTATGATTCATGGAAATTAACCTCTTAAAAATAAAAACACATTGTAAAAAACAACAAATATAATATATTAAGAAATAGTATGATTACAAAAGTTTTAAACTTTTTGATAGACATTTTTAGAACTTTTCATCGATTTTGAAATGAAAAGTAAGACATTTTTTTATCCACCAAAATGCCTTTATCATATTTTCTGCGGTTATGAAGTTATCGTGGATCATAAAAATAAAAAGTTGAATATTTTAAATAAAAAAACACTATTGTAACACCTCAGCTCGGTATTGAAGCCTATAACTAAATAGTGACTTGAGTCTTATATAAAATAATGTAATGTTTATTATTATGTTTGCAGATAAAAATGGAACTTTTATGTATTTTAATATCACTTGCCTTGGTAAATAATTTGGTAGCTGCGTTAGGTGATTATTTTTTTTTGTTTACACTTACCTACACTAGTATAAGTCTATAAAAAAAACAGTAATATTATTTTACAGATGAATATCATAAGCAAGTTATCATAACCAGTAAGTAGACATTTTTTTCGTACAAAATAATTTTTAAACTTTACTATGTTTGTGTAATTTATTACAGACCAACATATCCAGCGTGCAGGAGGTAAAATAAATTTACCAATGTACAACGTTTTAGATATGTTTTTTTGATTATTATCAATTTATTTATAAATTAAAAATGCATACTCAGAACAGTGAGGTCGGAGTACAGTTGGGTCGAGACATAGTTGGGATTGGGAGGTCATAAGTTTACAGGAACTATTAGAGCTGAAAGTGATAAAATCGCATTCAAATAAACGCTTCGATGCGAATCAGTAATTGGTATTTTTTCTCCCAATCCACACAATTCCTTAACACCACTGTACTGACTTTTTATTTCTTAGCTATACATAAAAGTGGTTATGTACCGCAAGTATTTCTTTAGTTTCTTGTTGCTCAAACCGTTATTTGTTTATTCCAGTGCGATTGCCGGAAATCATTAGAAACATTGTTCGCAGACCTTCTTCGATGAGTAAAGTATATACTAAATAAAATTATAACAATGATAAAGCATGGTAGATGATAAATTAATTTTCAAATGAAATATATGATGTACAATAATTTGATTACATAATATTTTTGCAAATTTTTAATAAATTATATAAAATCTGCAACCAAATATTTTCATGTAAATTTATCATTTATGGAAATGGTAAATTTTACTCTAAAATCTAAATGGTATCTTTTTGAAAAACTACACTGGTGTTACCTGTTTTAACGCCAAACACACTTTTTTTGAAATTATAAAACATACAACTTACGGCTTGTAATATTTTATTTTATAATAATATCATTAGTCTAATGTCACGAAATAATGTTTTTGTATTATGTTAATTTTAGAGAAAATGGCTTTTATGTTGGCAGTACCGGGTAATCATTTTCTTAACATTTTATTGATATATTTCCACATAGCTATTTGGTGTTCATTAAGTAAAATGTTTTAATTTTAATTTTAGAAAGTGAAAACGCAAACATTGAAGGTACCTACATGTAAATTATTTACATATATTGAGATTTGTCATAGACTTAGATAATAATTTCTATCATATCAAATGATGAAAGTTAACATTTATGTTGTTATAAAATGTAGAAAAGTTATTGTACCAGAGCTGTATGCAAACAGAAATAATAGCAGCCACAGGTAATAAATATAAACTTTAAAATAAACTCTAAATTCTCAAACGAACAATACATTTAAAATTATTGTAATTGGGTTCTAAGCAAAAACGATACAATTAGTCGATTGAAGTTTTTAAAATTAAATTATTTGTCTAAGTACTCTTAATTTTAGTTTAAATTTAGTAGGAAAAATATAAAAATTTATTTTAGGTTTTTTAAATGTAAAGTTATTATTTGATAATTAATATTTTGGTTATAGGTATCAATGTACCTGTGTTACCTGAGACAGCCGAAGGTAATAACAATCATTTAGGATTTAGGGTTATGTGCTGAGAATGGCGATGACCCTATAGCATCTGCAAGACGAATCTTCTGGTTAATTTGAAGCGACTATAGAGCTCCCCTGTCTTTAGAATATTGTTTTAGAATCTTAAGATCATTACTACGGTGAAAAAGAAGAAAAACAAATTCCATGGAAAAGGTTTATGGTATTTTTTTAGGATAGTCAACGTACATTCATTTTACAGAAGTCGAAACATATTAAAAAATATTAAACACTAAAATTTGTATATACATTTGGAAATAATTCGATAAACATTTTAGCGCACCTTAACTCTAAGTTGAAACATAAATTTGTTTTAGGTATTTTACTAGATTTAGAAGGGTAAGGTGTTGACATTTAAAGTTCTATATCAATATAGTATTTTTTTGGTACTTATGGTAGGTTCTACGAAAAATGACAACAAAACAGTAATTCTATTAACTGTAATGCAACTCTATCAAGTACTATAGCAACTTATTAAGTATTCTTGTTTTTTTTTTTGTAATTGTTATTAAGGAGATTTTGAAAACTTTGATCTGTCAGACTTTGGACGTACAAGAAGAAATATGACTAGTGCAGCTGTAAAGGCTTTAATCCGTAGTCAAATACGTAAATATTCATTTAAAATTTGTTTACCATTTTAAAGTAACTATTTGTATTAAAAAGAAAGCGGTCGGTTTTGTGAACATTTTAGATCTAAAAGCATGACAAAAAATATAATAATTGATTTACAGCCATTTAGTATCTTAACAATAACACACAACTTAGTTTTTTTCTAAAACAGAAGTATGGAGCTCATAAAACATTTGGTAAAAAACATTACTTGGGAAAAAAAAAAGATTTTAAATTTGTAAAAATATTTTAGTTGATTAGCCTCTTTTTTATTTTATTGTTGGAATCGATTTTTGATATTTCAAACAAAATTGTGTTTAAAAATAATTTTAGGTATATCTTAATTGAATTTCTCAAATCTTTGGTATTCGCTTCATCGGCTTATTTAAATATATCAAAAATTTATGTTAATAATAGACTTTCACAATAACCTAGAAAAAAAAATCGGTTATCTTAATCATTATTTATATCTTTATCTTAATCCCCATCTCTAACTCCAGCATCACCTGTTTCTGTATATATATCTCCATCTTTATCTCTATCTTTGTTTTCATCTCAAACTCTATCTCCAGCATCACATGTATAATTTTCTTCATCTCAAGCTCCATGATCACCTATGTCTGTATCTCCATCTCCAACTCCAGATTCAGAATTTGTCCTTTCACTTGAGTTATTGTTCTTTGATTATTTTTGTTCTTGTTTCAATTGTTAACATGCTAAAACTTAAATTTCAAATTAATTGATTTAAATTATATAAGTTTCTGTTAAAATTAATTATGGAGCAAGTTGTGATATTATGTTCGAGTTTACATGAAGGATTCGAGGATGATATGTGTTTTATCTTTTATCAAAAAAATTATTAAATTAGATTAACATTTTTGTACAATACGGATACACTGCAGTACATTGTATTATTTTTCTATGGTTTATTATATACATGTCTATAAATTGTGCGTTGCTAATAAATAAATGTAGTAACAAAATATGTGTCAAACTTGGATTTCTTCTTTTTTTTTTAGGTGGAGACACGAACTTTAGTGTGAATTTCACAGAATATCATTTGTGTTCTTTAATAGGATTGTTCAAAAGTATACAACATCCACCATTTTATGTAGATATTGCTTGTGTCGATATTAATGGAACTTGTTTCCTTATGGATGTGAACAGAAATATTAGTAGATACAGATCCATTGATGGCAGTATTTGGGAAATTAACGCTGACTTTACTCCATTTCAGCCACTTTCTTTTCAAGTACAATTTTAAGGACAACCTTTTTTATAGTATCACTATTATAATTGCTATATAAATATATATAAATTATTTTTACATACCTTCTTCTATTCAAATTGTCAATAAATAATAAATTGTTAAATACATTATATTTAACAATAAAAATTTTAAACACAATATTATAAACACATTTGTTAATTATGTGTTTCTATTATCACTCTATGATGAGCTTCCAACTTACACACAGTAATATTTGGAGCCACTATAGATTTTTTAAAAATGTTGACTTGCTTACCTTTTTAATATGTCTAAAAAAATTTACTATATCCAGAAAAACGACCAATTAAACCCATTTATTATTATTTCACCTCTACTTAATGTCTATCGTTCAATACGATTCTCATCGATGGACTATCATTTAAAGTAATATATGGTTCAAATCTTTAATGTAAATATTAACACTACGAATGACATATCAAAACCTTCATTTAAAAAAGTAAAAAGTCTGAACTTGCATTATGAAATACAAGGTGATCATTTTCATTATCGTGAACAACTCGAAATTTCAGTGGGTTAACTACATTTTTTTTAAAGTGTTTTTTTATATAATGTGAACTCAATTTTCCACAAAATTTGTATGTTCCTACTCCTCTGTCCAGACTAATTGTTTTTATATTCACTTTGGAAACTTAAATGTTAACGCATGGTACATTTCATTAACTTTTTCAATTGAGAATAATGTACTACACATTTTGATTGGTCGACAACCAGTTTTGGATAACTATTTTTGAAGTTATTTAAGTGACAATTTTAGGGCAGGATGGCGCAATTCCCTTCCCGTCCTAACTTTTTTAAATCTTATAACTTTGAAAATAGTGGTAAAAAACTGATCAACCAGTCAACATTGTTGATTAAATATTCTTAATTTAAAAAGTTATAAAAATATATAAGTTACCATTTAAGTTTCATCAGTTGATATAAAGGTAATTAGTTTGGTAGGGGGTAGAAAAAAAAATTTACGGAAAATCGAGATCACATTATAATATAAAGACACTATGAAAAGAAAATTTAGTTAATACCTAAACCCATTGAAATATTGACAGTGGTTCAGGATAAAATGATCACCCTGTATATATATATATAATATGATATCATATAAAACAACTTTAATAAAAGAGCTCAGTAAATAAATGAACATACCTTGCAAAATATATTGTATTAATTCTTAATCTTTTGGCAAAATGTCCAACTACACGTCTCAAAAAAATTACTTGAAAACAATTTAAAAAGCAGTCGATTGGATAATCTGCTTATAAACTGTATCGTTTCAATAATTTAACAGCTAATAGTAATCAATATCGAAGATTGTAAGTATACTATTCATATATTCTGTTTTAGTAATTATTTATTTTTGTATATTTGTACCCGCTTACGATATCTTTTAAACCACTAAGAAACAAAACGCTATATTTGTATATTACACGTTGAATATACTTAAAATATGTATACAGGGTGGCTCACAATGATTTGACAAATGGAATAACTCTTGTTCTAGTGAATATTAAAAAAAAAAAATAATTTACACTCATTTAACAACAAAAATAATATAATATAACAACAATAATTGTTGGCACTATCTTAAGACATAAGAGCTAACAATGAGACTAAAAATAGTTCTGATAATATATATATATATATATATATATATAACATAGGTAAAATAAAACTGTGCTAGAAATTGGTTTTTATCAAGGAAAAACTCGAAAAAATTGGATTTTGAAAGCTATTTTGAGTTTATTAACTTGAAAATTCGTATACGGTCTAATATATAAGTATCAAATAACTACATCAAATTTAGTATAATTAATTATATGATACATACAAGTAATGTGTTAGGATAACATTTAGTAGTTTTTGTAATTATTTTGTGCGATTAAAATAGCATCAGACAAAATTGAGGACCTTATGTCATTCACCTTACGATCCAGAAAAAACAAACTTAAATTCGTTTTATTGTTTGTATAACATTATACAAACTTATACGTTTTAATAAAACGTATATGTTTATCAACATTTTTGAGTGGTATTTAAACCAATAACCGAAATAAAAATAGCCTTAACTTGCGTCAGGATAATGTAAATAATATATTATCATATTAAAACATAAAAAATCAGCCATATAAATAAATTAAAAATAGAACCCATAAAATGATATTAAAACTTTACTGTTTCGGCGACAAACAAACGGTACCTAGATAATATAAAAACGGTTAACAAGCTAGTCGAATTGTATTTTGCTTATAAGTTCTATCATTTAATAAATGCATTTCAGTAATACTAACCAACTTCTAATACTGTAAGTACATTGCTTATACAAAAAAAAAATATTGTATTTTTAAGTTGAAAAATGTAAACATTTTTAAAGCTTTTTCAGAATTAAAATTTTTTTTAAATTATTTTTGCAGATAAAAATGAAATTTGTATGTATTTTAATATCATTTACCTTGGTAAATAACTTAATAGCAGAATTAGGTGATTATAATTTTTTTTACGCGTACTTCAACTAGTTAGTCTAAAATTAAACCTCATTATTACTTTACAGATGAATATGATAAGCAAGTTATCATAAACAGTAAGACATTTTTTACATACAAAATTTTTTTATAAACTAAACTATGTTTATGTAATTTATTACAGACCAACTCATCGAGCTTGCAGGAGGTAAAATATATTTAAAATACATTAACCAATATGGTATTTTTTTTGTTGATTATTATCAATTTATTTATGAATGAAAAATTATAATTTCTAACCCCCTTACAAAACGAGAAGCCTTAACTAAAATGGTAACCAGTTTGAATATACTCCTATTCTGATGTTTTTTATTTTAATTGAAACTTTAAAAATAATAAAATATTGTGGGGGTAAAAAAATAATGTATGTTTATTTTTTCCCGTGTGTCTCAAACGATTCACAAAAATACAGACATGTCATTGAGATACTCTAATAACTGTAGTTGCAACAAAAAGTAAAAAATTTAATATCTTGGTCATTCCGCACTGTAGATGGTGATGATCGTTTTGAACGTCTCCACATTCTCATTATTTAGCTCGTTCCTTGTTGCTTAACCGGTGTATTTGTTTATTCCAGTGCAAATGCTGGGTATCATTCGAAACATTGTTCGCGGACCTTCTTCGATGAGTAATCATAATTATAAACTAAATAAAATTATAGCAATAATAATTGAGCATGGTAGAAGATGAAATTATTTTCAAATGAAAATATATATGATGTACAATTTCATTAAATATTTTTGAAAATGTATTACAAATTAATATAAATCTGCGACAAATTATTTTCAAGTATATTCATCAGTTATGGAAATTTTAAATTTCCAACTTGTAATTTATATTAGAAAAAAACTTTAATCTAATTTCATCAAATAATAGTTTTTTACTATGTTCATTTCAGAGAAAATGGCTCTTATGTTGGCAGCACCGGGTAATCATTTTCTTAACATTTAATAATCATTGAGTAAAATGTTTTAATATTAATTTTAGAAAGTGAAAACGAAAACATTGAAGGTAATATTCATGTGATTAATTGAGTATAATCATAGGCTTAGATATTAATTCTATCATACCAAATGATGAACATTAACATTCATGTTGTTTCAAAACGTAGAGAAGTTATGGTACCAGAGTTGTTTGCAAACAGAAATAATAGAAGCCACTGGTAAATATTAAATCTGAATTTCTTATACGACCAAACAATTTAAAATTTATTGTAATTGGGTTCTAAACAAAAACGATAATATTAGTCAATTGTAACATTTTTAAATTGATTAAATTGTCTAAATACTCTTAATTGTAGTATGAATGTTGTAGATAAATCTTTTTTTATTTCTTAAAATAATTGTATATTTTTTTATATTTTGGTCGTAGGTATCAATGTACCTGAGATAAACGAAGGTAAAAAGAATCATTTAATTATTTTTCGAAGGTTTTGCTTTGTAAGTAGCAAATGCACAACATAACGGTTATTTTATTAACTGTCATGCAACTCTATCAAGTACTAGAGCAACTTATAATGATTTTTTTTTCTATGTAATTATTGTTATTAAGGAGATTATAAAAACTTTGATCTGGCAGATTTTGGACGTAAAAGAAGAAATATGACTGGTCCAGCTGTAAAGGCTTTTATCCGTAGTCTAATACGTAAATATTCATTTGGAATTTGTTTACCATTTTTAAGTAACTGTATTAACAAGAAAGCGGTCGGTTTTGTGGATATTTTAGATCTAATAGTCTGATAAAAAATATAATAATTGATTTACAGTAATTTATTACCTTGACAATAACACACAACTTACAAGGGGAGGTCACAGTGATGGCGTGACGGATTTTCTTCAAATTGCGAATAAATGTTATTTATGAGAAATAAAAAGACCCTTATTCGAGCGTTTGTGCCAATGCGTCCTAATTCCAGAGATAATCAACTTTGAAATTTACATATTTTTTGGTATATCTTAAATAGACCTATTTTACAACCTTCTGTAAAAATAAATGTGGTGCGGTCGAGCGTGATCGGGGCTCGCAAGTGCGCGGAACCGGGTTTCTTCAACCCTAGGTACCGTCGTAGTACTTTTTACAACTTTTTTTTTAACTTTTATGGTAATTTATATTGCAAGATCACTAAAATCTTATAAAATATTTATATTTTTATTACTACAGAATACATTTTCACCCTTAAAAGTACTTGATAACCTATATTCCATTCGGTTTTTCGTCATTTATTATACTTCTCGTACTGATGATTGAGTAACAATTTTTGTTGTATAATTGCACTATTGTATAGTGCAATTTAACCTGTAAAGTTGTAAGACTAAAAAAATAATTTTTTTCCATTTTTCTATAATAGTTATTGGTTATATTAATTAATATTTTTTTTACAACTAAAAAAAATACATTTATACTCTGTAAAGCAATGTAGTGTATTAATGTTGATGGTGATAATATAATTTATCTTCATTGGGGAAATTACGACCCGGGTGGGATGTATGGAGTTAAGATATGTCATTTGTGTTATGATTATGATTACCAATCTGTAATTTATGTGATGACATATTTATTGTCCTTAACCAAGTTTTCCCACAATGATACAATTAAAAAATAACAATATACGCTATCTGAACAATATTAAAGTCAGGTAACTTTTGCATAATTGTACACATTTCAGATTATGCAAAAGTTACCTGACTTTAATATTGTTCAGATAGCGTATATTGTTATTTTTTACAATATACGCTTTACAAATTACAAATTAATATTTTTTTTAATTATATGTTTCTATTAAAATTTATCATGAAATAAGTTTGATCAAATAAAGAAATGTATTAACAAAAATGAGCTAAATTTGGTAATTTTGTTATTTTATTTTTAGGCGGAGACACCAATTTCAATGTGGATTTTTCAAATTATAGTATGTGCCGTTTATTAGGATTGTTCAATAGTATACGACACCCAGAAGTTTATGTAGACAATGCTATTCTCGATATTAATAGAGTTTGTTTCCTATTACATCTGGACATGAATATTATTAGATACAAAACTATTAACGGCATTATTTGGCAAGTTCACGCTGACTTAACTCCATTTCAGCAACTTTCTGTGCAGATACAATTTTAAGGACAACCTATTCTATAGTATAACTATTATCGTTGTTGTATATAAATTGTTTTTACATACCTTCTTCTATTCAAATTGTCAATTAATTTTATGCATTTAACAATAAACCGTTTTAGTCACGATTATAAGCCCATTTGTTGCTCGTTTGAAAAGATTTTAAGAGGTATAGTAGATAGTGGGTATTTTATACCTTGTCTGCATTGTAATAGAAATCATAAATAATGTAATGTATAATTGCGAAAATGTTTTTGTTTTTGTAAATAATAAAATCTTAATAGTTTGTAGTAAATCTGATAGATGTTATCTGCTATTACTTGTTTACATTGCCATAGGCTTTGTGAAAAAACACTAAACATTTTATGTAATAAAGAATTTGTATACAATACTATAATATGATCTTCCAACTTTAAAGAAAAATTGTTAGTATTGTAATACCTTACATTCTAATATACAGGGTGATATTTAGAGCCGAGGTGATATTTATTCTAAGTAATTTTTAATTTTCTAAAAAAAAAACCCGGTTTTGGAACGAAAGCTATATACCTACATGATATGATTATAAGAAAGTAGTTGGCTTACAACGATTTTAACAATGATATGTTATTGAGCTACGACACATTTAAAAAAGAAAATAGTCTGAACTTGCGTCAGTGTAATGAAAATATAATAAAAAAAAAAAAACAACTAAGCAAATAAATGAACATAGGCACCTTGCAAGATATATTTTGATTTTTCTGTTTCTGTCGACAAAAAGCATAACTACACTACACAAAAAAAACACTTTGAAACAATTTAACAATCGGTCGATTTGGTATTTTGCTTGTTAATTCCATCGATCCATCAATTTAATTAATTAAGACTAATCAGTATCCAAAATGGTAAGTAATAGTTATTTATATATTTTGTTAAGTTTAAATAATTATTAATTTTTGTATCTGCTAGCGATAACTTTTGAACCGATAAATTAATTTCATTTTATCGCAAAGCTACTTACAGAAGTTGTACACGGCATAATATTCGCATATACTATAATACATATATGGTATTTCATCATGCCAAAAGTAATAATAATATGTTAACAATGTTAAGAATCAAAATTCATCAAATAACCTAAATTTTACTGTATTGTTTGTTATCCTAAAACTACTTCAAGTTGTACCATTCGAAATCTAGTTGAATTAATTAAAAAAATGTTTGTACCGTATTCCACAAGTACTGCAGCACATAAAGTATAGCGTTATATGTACTAGATAATTAAATAGTGGGGGGAAGGGGTTTTTCTTCATGTTATATACTTGTGGGACTGTCCATCAGTGCATGTGTGGCGATCGACGCGTGGGTGCCGTTTTTTTAGGTTAGTTGGAACGATTGGGAACCTAGTGTCGCGTCGGTGAAGTGTAGTCCGGTCGAGTGGGTTACCGCGTGGTGACCGTGACGTGTGAAGGAGAAACCCAGTCCAAATACGAGAAAAGTGTGGTGCACAATTTAATACTCAGGAATGGACTGTTATACCGGGTCGTGGATGGAAGGGAGCTGCTGGTGTTACCACGGTCAATGAGAAAAGGAATCGCCATCGCTGCCCATGAGCAAAGTGGTCACTTTGCATTGGCAAAAATAACCGAGGACTATTGGCTCCCGCGCATGCGACGTTATGTGAGGCAGCACATAAATATGTGTATCGACTGTCTGATGGCGAACAAACAATCTGGCAACAAGCAAGGGGTATTACACCCAATACCACCTGGTACACGACCATTCGACACGATCCATATGGACCATTCGAGACAAGTACCAAGGGAAATCGGTATTTACTGGTTATCATTGATAATCTGACCAAATATGTGTTGTTACACCCAACCAGGAGTACAGATACCCGTACTATTCCGTATTTATTCGCATAATGACGGAATTCGTCAAACAACGTGGATATCCTAGGCGGATTATAAGTGACAGAGGAAGTTGTTTCACATCAACTGCATTCCAGGAGTTTTGTGCCGATCAGGGGATACACCATGTACTGAATTCGACTAACCATGCCAGGGCAAACGGACAAGTCGAACGGGTTAATAGAACACTAATACCAATATTAGCCATACACGCAACAGATCAGTTTCGTTGGGACACAAATATCAAGGACATTGAGAGGGAGCTTAATACAGCAGTTTAAATGTTTTTTATGTTGTAAAGGCTACTATAGGTATCCTATTCGAATTCCTAATAGAATTAAAACCAAAACAATTCCCAAAACTGCACTTACATAACAAAAAAATGTATACAAATTTGGATTTTTTTTTTTTACTATTTTTAAAAAAGGTGTAATTTGATTTTGAAATAAAAATACATAATGTTTATTATTATTATTTGCAGATTAAAATGAAATTTTTTTGTATTTCAATATCTTTGGCGTTAGTAAATAATTTGGTAGCTGTATTGGGTGATTATTTTTTTTTACACATACCTACACTAGTTAGTATAAATCTATAAAAAAAAAACCTAAACTTTGAAATTTTTTCACAGATCGAGATTATCGCATGGACGTTGAGAAAGCAAGTCAGTAAAATTGTTTTTTTCATACTGCGCAAAGGTTTATACTAAATTTATATAATTTATTTTCAGACGCAGAAATCGAGATAGCAAGAAGTAATATATATTTAAAATTAAAATACTTGAAAACCCCCGAGCTAAATAATAAACGTTGTTGTTTGTTAGATCAAGGTGTTTTGCCGGACCTAATTCAAACCATTGTTCGTGGAAATTATACGATGAGTAATTATAATTTTTTAATAAAATGATAATAATAAAGCTTGTTAGTTAAATAAACGTATACATTGAAATAATATAAAAACAGGAAAAACAATACTGTATTTATGCCAATTTATCTGTGATATAAATGATTTACTCTAAAATCAAAACCAAATCTTTTTGACGAACAACGCTGATGTTACCTCTTTTAACGTTACATCTTCATTATATGTATTTTGTTTTACTCCGTTACTTTTGTTTCAATTCAGCCATTTGAACACCATAGTAATAATAACTCAATTAAATTAAATAGATCCGAGTAAATTTTTTCCGTCTTCTCGTTTATTTTTAGAATACAAAATTAATTCTAATATCATTAAATATTACAATTTGTATGTCATGTTGATTTCAGAGCAAATAATGTTGATGTTGGCAAAACCGGGTATTAAGTTACTTAGCATCTTATGAAAATATGTCCACATAATATGTTATTTGATGTTTATTAAGTATAAAATGTTTTTTTTTTAATAATTCCAGAAAGAGATATTAATAGCGATGGTATTACGTTGTATGACGACGCAATTGGTATGTGGTATACTCGAGAACGTTTTTTAATAATTAACTTTTTATTTCTATAATACTATATAGCGTGGTAACTTCAATTTGCTGTGTCTGAATATATTGAAAAAACAAAATAAATTCCTAATTGGTTTGGTTATATTTTTGATAACTGACATCTCTATTTATGTAAGAAAGTAAACATGCGGTGGTTTGACGGTCCATATCAGGTCCCCACCTGACTGATGCGTTTGGCACTTTCTCCATGTTGGTGTCTGTAAATAGGTGTTTGTGTGTGTGTGTGACTTTAATCTCAAATAACTTTTAATGTAATTACCCAAAACTGGTTGTCGACAAGTCAAAATTACCAGCAAATCATGCTGGATAAAATACCTAGTCGGAATTAAAAAAAAACACATCTAGAAAAAAAGTTATTTAATTTGTAATTTGTAAAACAGCCCGTATTATTACTTCAGTATACAGAGTGCTTTTAGTGCATTTTTTATATTCATTGAGTATAAGTAATACATACTTACATATTGATTTCAATCATAATAATTATTGATGTACATTAAATTTATTTTGCTCTGTATTTTAGCTAATATACAAACCCAGAGAGACTTGCGAACAGAAATATTGAGAAAACTACGTAAATATGACTTTTGACTGTTTTAAACGAACGACTGTTAAATATGATACTATATAATTTTTTTATTCTCAATCTTAGGACAACCGTTATAGATAAAATATAAAATAAATGATTCCTTCGGCCGATTAATTGTTTGATATTTTGTTTCAGCTTTTTACAGGTTTCCTGTGACACCAAGTAATCAAAATAATATTTAATTTTTTTAGAGGTTTTGCTCAGTTTTAATCGCTTAAATTATCGGTGACTGAGCATACTGTTTTAGAGGTTGGTTTTATGTAATAATGGTGGGCTGTACTAAATTTGGCCACATCACAGTTCTTTAAAATCGAATGCAACTATATGAAGAGCAACTGAATTTATTTTAAGTTTTTTTTTATATTTGTTATTAAGGAAAATATGACACTATGAGTATGACAGATATGGGCAATGAAAGAAGAAAATATTGTAGTGAAGCCGTAAAAGAATTAATGGGTTTTGTAATAAGTAAATATGCATGTCGAATTTATTTACCTTTGTAAAATTAATCACTAATTAATGCATTAACTAGTAAAAAAAAATACAATTAATTTACAGACATTCATACTTATCACAGTCACACACATATTGATATTCGTTTGAACATAGAAGTACAGAGCTGACACAACGTGGTTATTGACTAGACTCTTTTATCTTTTAAATTTACTTCTTGTTTGTTTGAGTATGAACTCAATTATGGTTTAAACTTTAACAGCTTGGTATTGCATCTTTAAAGTTTAACACATTTTATGTATAATTTTCCATGACCAACATAAAAATTACAATTATTTTTAAGATATTTAAAAATTAGCCATTGCCAATTTAAAGCTTGATGTTAATTATTTTTAAGCAATTGTATTTCTTAACAAATACCTATTGGGTTACAACTAGAGTAGAAATTCGTACTTAGTATATTAAGTAGTAAGTACTTAGTATATTAGTGTATGTAGTGGCCACACATACTTTCTTATTATACATAATCAATTACGGAGTCTTGAAAAAGATAAAACTTCAACTTTGAATGGCAATGTTATTTTTTTAAATATAAATGTTTCTAAGTTACTTATAATCTTAATTTTGAAACGGGTTTCATTTTTTTACAATTCTGACAAAAACCCGGTTATGATAAACCAGATTTTTGGCAGTGTTCTCCTCAATTAAAAAAAAAGTTGTTGTCTGAGATTAACATACACATATACAATACAGACACCCTACATTGTATTATTTTTCTATAATGATTTATTATACACATGTATAAGTTATTTCTTGATAATAAAGTAAAGTAGTATCAAATGAGCAAGCAATTTGATAATTTTTGTATTTTTTTAAGGTGGAAGCAGTCCACCAGGGTTCAGAGTGGATATTACAGTTTTCATCCACTTGTGTCGTTTAATTGCGGTGCACAGAGCTATTAGAAATCCGGATTTATTCAGAGAGATGGTTGATGCTAAAATCGAAGATGAAAATTGTGTGATAACATATGCAAATACGAGAGATATCAAATACCGATACTTTGGCAACCGTCTTTATGAAATTTACGGTTCTGGTAATCCAAAACAGACACTTTCTTTTCAAGTGACTCAATGGGACCAGTAAATTATTTAATAGTACTATTGTTAATACATACTATACGTACATAGTATTATAACGTATATGAACAATGATTGCATATCTTCTGATGTAAAAATTGTCATTACATATAATGTATTTAAAAATAAACAAATATTAATCGAGATTATAAAAACGTTTGTTGCTTGTATAGTGCATTTATAGCGTTTTACTAAAATTTAGAACTATTGTGATTGTTGTTAATATTTTGTTTGACGTTTTTGTCCTTGCAAAATTACATTCTTTGTACAGTGTAGTAGTTTTTAGTTAGAAGATATTATTTGCATGATAGTCAAATGAGAGATTGTGAGTCAAATTTTTAAACATTAAATCACCAGCAACTTAATTATAGGCTATATTGAATTTATTCGATTCAAAATAAATGTTAAAGTGAATAGACTTGTCGTTAAGACGTATAAAAAAATCAAACAAAAAAGTAATTTTATGCTGAAATATTGAAATCCAATTTTTAACGCAGCACCAATACTCTGTGTACCTTATTTTATGTACTATATCCAGAAGAAAAACAAAACAAATATATTATATAATTTCTTTTATACTTAATTATACGTTTAATACGATTTCCATCGATAGAGTTGCATTCACAATATACATATATATATTTGAACCTCTAAGTCAATTTCATTTAATCGCAAAACCACTTACAGAAGTTGTACACATAATATTCGCACACACTAAAATAGATATGCTATATCATTGGGCTGAAAGGAAAAGTATGGTAGAAATGTTAAGAAAAAAACCCTAAATTTTGCCATATTACCATTTTTAACCTAAAACCACGTCAAGCTGCGTATATTGATTAAATGTACATTTTACTTAAATATTGTTGTTTAAGTGTCTAATGATCAATGCAAAACAATGATTGTAAAAATCCTTACCAGACGTTATACTTACAGTTTACTGTACTTTCTGTCGCCGACAACTGCGAGTATCAAGTCAAAACCGTCAAATTAAATTATTGAAAATAAAGAATTTTAATTGTTTTTACAGATAAAGCCAGTATAGTGGAGTCAGGGCATAGCGGGGAGGTCACAAGTCTATAGGAATTACTATAACTGAAAGTGATAAAATCACTTTGAATAAACGATTCGATGCGAATCTGTGGATAGTATGAGTAAACCAGTTCAGCCCAAACCAAGCACAGTATAAACCTATACGGTAAGAAAGTTGTATACGCAAGTAAGGAGTAATTATAGTAGTAGTTAGTGAGCAAGTAGGGGACGTCCAGTGTTCACGGTAAAACAATCAAATATCGAGAAAAGCGTTGTACCTAATGACAAGTATGTGGTTAAAAATGAATTTTTAGTATTAGGACGCATACGATTAGGGTTGATCGTCTAA